CAGTTGTCACAGCCTGTGGATTATAGAGACTGGACGTAGAGAAAAGGACCCACATGCACTCGTGTGGAGGTAGCCAGAATAAAACAAAAAGTGAGCCCCTTTTCTGTTCACAAAAGAGCAAAGTGGCCATAATCCAAAAAGTGAAACATAAATCCAAAAAGGGGAAACTGAAAACTACAGTATAACCACTAGGAAACACACTCATGCTGAAAACCACTAGGGGCAAGAGAGACAGGAACAGAAACACATGGTCTGACACAGGACAATGGGGGGCACTCACTGTATATGTGCAGAAGGGCAGTTAAGGGAAGCGGAGACAGCTACTTTACACTTTAAAGTCACTAGGAGGTGCAAGCTAGAGCAAGTACACCAAGAATACATGAAACATACATGAATACCTGAAATATAAACATTAAACAAACCAGGAATCAGAACAGAATATTCAAATAAACACTAGAAAGTCCAAAAACTCTGAACCACTGGGTCAAATCCCCCAATACCATGACAACAATTTGCACAGGCTCATCAAAATTGAACAACAGAAAATTGAAAAGGTGCTGCCTCATCTGATGAGTCTCGATGTCATTCTGTGAATTTTGGAGGGTAGGGTCAGAATTTGGCATAAAAGAGTATGGATCGCATTCATCCTGCCTTGGAACAACGGTTCAGGCTGCTGATGGTGATGGAGTAATGGTGTCGGGGGATATTTTCTTGGCACACTTGAGCATCATTTAAACACCACAGCCTACCTGAGTATTGTTGCTGAACATCTCAGCCCATTTATAAAGACAGTGTAACCCATCTGCTGATGCCTGCTGCCATCAGAATAACACGCAAAATCCCAAAACTCAGATCATCTCAAATTTGGTCTTTAAATACACCACTGAGTTCACTGTACTCAGACGGCTTCCACAGTCAGCACCTCTTAGCACACAGTACAGCACCTTTGGGATGTGTTGAAATGGAAGATTGGTGTCGTGGATGTGCAGCCCACAAATCTGCAGCAACATGTGTGCTGATGTCATGTTAATATGGACCAAATTCTCTGAGGAATGGTTCCAGCACTTTTTTGACTCTATGCCATGAAAATTAAATCAGTTCTAAAGGCAGAAGGGGATCCAACCCAGTACTAGCAAGGTGCACCTAATAAAATGCTTAGTTTGCATATGTCTTTGGTTCAAGCTAAAGTCCTGCCAATCGTGGTTATTTTCATGGCAAGGTCAACCTTACAACACAATAATCAGATTTAAAGGCCGTGACAACTATTTCCTCAGTGAAATCCTTTTATTCAGAAATAGATGTGGAATGATCCTCCCCCCCCCGTCCCCCCTTTCTCGTGTTATGTTGTTTGTTTCACAATCTGTGTATTTCCATATCTCGCTTCCCTGCTTGCTGTCGATGTTCTGAAAGCGTTTGTGTTCTTTGACTTTCTCTGTTTGTTTTGCAAAGTAGAGATTTCTTAATGGTGTGATTAGGCTTTGGAGGATAAACAGTATTTAAGTCCCTGCAGTATTTATCCCTGCAGTCCTAAATAGAAGGTTTAATAGTGTTTTTACTGTATAATTTCTTTAAAAAAAAATCAGACTAACTGCCTGGTATCCATGCCAGCAGCCTTCCTCTAATGCTTCTGTGAGCAATGTTTACTGCTGGTTGATGGCTAATTCCTCACTCATGATTATGCAGTGTTTGAGTTAAACTTGGTAATCTATCACCGTGTTAAACTGCAAAGACACAGACGTTACAAATTCTGTGAGAGAAAACAAATACAGTTATTTGAATTATTGCCTTTGAAACCCCTGGATGATTTTTTGAAATGCTTTACATATTTAAGAAATCAGAGGAGGATTTGGAGATTGAAGTTATGATTCAAAATCTGTTTTTATTGGACTGTAACTGAAATGTCTTTTCAGCTGGGGAAAAAAAGGCTTCATTGAAACAGTGCGATGGCAGCTGCGCTGGGACAGAAACTCTTCTTGTTTTGTTGTTTTAATTGTTTTAGGAAAGTGCTTTTGTATCTCAAATATTAGCGCCTTTGTTTCCTGTTGTTTTGAAGTAAAAAAGTGATGGCGATGCTTCTCCCGAGGCCTTTTTGTTCTGTTGTTTTTGTTTTTTCAAGCTTCTAATGAGGACATCAAGGGTCCTGGGATGTCCATGAAGCTGCTCCAACAACACCAGGGGGTCTTGATGGAAAAAAAACCCCTTCCAGGTCAGTTGCACTGAGGAAGCTGTGCCTTGTTAAATGTGACTCAGTGAACCTCAGTGTGTCTTTTTGTGTACCGCTCTCGCCATCTACAGGAAACAGGAATTGCATGCAGAAAATACAGCAGATTACTGCACCTTAACTACTTTGGAATTTAGTGTATGACATTACCGAGGATGCAAGTGGAATGTGGTATGGAAAAGCCTCCTGCACAAGTGTTGTTTATTTTAGTCACTTCTTGGTTACACCAGCAGATGGCACCATAGTCTTATGAATTCTGAAATCGGAGCTTGAACTTGAGGGAGGCTTTGTTCTTCTTTCAAGCTTTCTATAATCCTTTGATCACCCAATTAAGCAAGACAGCACTTTTTGGTGGACAGGGTGAAATTAACTGATATTGCCAACTGTGTGAAAGCTGGACCATCGTTTTAGTTCATCTGCTGCTCATTATTAGTTAGTGGGGGAACAGGGTTTATGAGTGACCAGGGAGCAGGAATTGTGGGAAAGTTGTCTTCTTTTTGTGTTTCTTATTAATGTAAAATGTCAGGATAAATTGCCCTCCTCTGTGTGCAACTAAGATGAGAATCCAGCTGAAAATGAAAGAGGTCTTTTTCCCCCCCGAGCCAGTTAAAAAGTAAGTATAGAGTCCCACACAAATTAAGCACTATTTTGAGACAGCTCTGTCCTTCTGCTATCAGTGTGCAATTAACTCCACTTGAGTTCATTTTCATAAAAAAGAAAAAATAACTCCTAAAGTAGATTGTGCAAAAATCACCAATCAGCTTACATATTAAATGTGAGTTATGCTTGATACACCTGATGTCACTACATAAAACAGCTGTACAGCCACGTTTATTGAGTCAATAGTTCATGCTAAAATACTAAAAAGAAGAAGAATCATCTCAAAGTCCAGAAAGGCCCTTTCATTTGTACTTTTCCCTCATGCACCTGCCGATGTAAAAAGTCTTGAATAATCAGGCCTCATGTTATCGTAAAGACCTCAAAGTAGCACATCACCTCTGTAGAGCACTCAGCCTGTGAGCTTACTTGTGGTTTTAGAGTATTTAAAAGAAGAATGGGAGGCAGAGCCTTCAGCTTTCAGGCCCCTCTTCTGTGGAACCAGCTCCCAGTTTGGATTTGGGAGACAGGCACATCTCTACTTTTAAGATTTGGCATAAAACTTTCCTTTTTGATAAAGCATATAGTTAGGGCCGGATCAGGTGACCCTAAACCCTCCCTTAGTAATGCTGCAATAGATCTAGCTTACTTGGGTTTCCCACAATGCACTGAGTATTTCTTCTTTATTCACCTTTTTTCACTGTCAGTATGTTTATACATCACTTTGCATTGAGCCTAGTTTTGCTCGAGTTTTCTTCCTGGTTTCTTCCTTGGCAACAGTGAAAAGGAGGTTTTCCTTCCCATTGTTGCCAAGTGCTTACTTATAGGAGGTCACCTGATTGCTGAAGTTTCCTCTCTATTATTGTAGGATCTTTACCTTACAATATAAATGGGGTTTGTGGTTGTGATTTGGCACTACATAAATGAAATTAAACTGAACTGAACTGAAAGCTAGCCTTGATTGATGAGGATACATCAGTATATAAGATTTGTTTCAGCTGATATTGGCCATGTTGTCTGAAGTTGGCTATTGGCAACAACATGGAATTTATCAGTGTAAGGTCATGACCATTCATACATGCAGTCTAGCTTATAATATTAATAATACATTAGAATTCTGTGAAACACACTTATCGTGTGTGTATTTATACTATATTTATTACCATGTTAGCTAATGCCAAAAGTAGCCACACACCAAAGTGCTAAAATACTCAGTGAGAGACTGTATTACAAATACAAAGTAAAAGTACAACAAAAAAATGTAGTTAATGTATCCAAAACAGTTGTCAGTAAATTTCTGGACTTTACTGTAACAGCCTGCCTGGTATTTAAAAGATCCATTATCCCTACCAAGGACGTACACTCTACAGCTATCCAACTCAAGAAGAAGTTCAAAGAATAGTGATGTGGCATGTTGATGTTGTATTAATGTGTAAGGTGCATTTTAACATTGGGGCTGATAAAGTGGAGCAATTTTTTTCTAAGGTTAATAATAATTAAAGTGTGGAAGAAGTGTAGTAGAATAAAAATGTGCTTTAATCACTTTGCATTCTTTCCAGTTATTATTGATCTCTAGCTCTCTTCCATCTGTCTCCCTCCCCTTACCCCCAGCAGGTAGCAGCAGATGGCTGTCCTTCCCTGAGCCTAATTCTGGATGAGGTTTCTTCCAATTAAAAGGGAGTTTTTCCTTCTCACTGTTGCCAAGTGCTTGCTTGAACAAGGTCATCTGATGGTTGGGGCTTTGTATTACTGTAGGGTCTTTACCTTACAATATAAAGTCCCTTGAGGCGACTATTGTGTGAGAAAATGTAACTGAACTGAAGTGAATTGAACTGACTTTGTACTTATAGTCTTTTCACCGCTGCTGCTGTGGTTTCTTTGTACTCGATCACAGTGACATCACTCAGGCTGATCTCTGATTGGAGAAAATTAAAATGATGAACACTAAACACAGGAGCTCAGTTAAAGGAAATGTCAAATGAAGCATTAAATGTCATTATGAGTTCCCTATGCTGGGGACGTTACATTTATAGAGACGGAATTAAGCACATGTCGCCACGTTTGGCCCTGCCTCCCGGAGAGGTTTCACTCATGCTGCCCGGTCCTTGAAGGGGTGGACCAAAAAAAAAAAAAAAAAAAAGGACAGGCAGCAAAGGAAAAGGAAAAACATTGGCGACACCTGCAGACTCCTAACCTGCTCTCTCTCGGAGCAAAAACATGGAAACCTGAAAGAAGCGGAAAGAAACAACTCATTCGGAATAAAAGGTGCATTAATAAAGTATGTTTATTCGTCACAACTACTACGCGGAGCAGAAGCGAGCGGCTCAAACACTTTCCAAATAGACTCCCGGAGCGAGAAAGCGGAGGGAGGGAGGAAAGCGCAGCAGGTAATGGGAAGCTGATTCATCCTCACTCGGAAAAGTTCCGTTTCACGCAGATTTTCATTAAAACTTAAAGGAAGGAGCAGTGTGCAGACAGCGAAACTGTTTTCATGTACTTTTTAATTTTTGTATATATATATTTTTTACTTGTTAATTGTTCACGTGAGGCGTGGATGGAGTGAAATGCTGGTGCGTTCACAGGTAAAAGGCAAAACGCGCGTTTTCCCCTGTCTATGTCGTCTATTCAAACCCGCTGTTGTGATCCCGGAGAGAGATAAATGATTCGTTTACTGACTGTATTTGACTGTTAAGTACAGGGGTTTCGCTTCCTACTGACAGTAGCAGTGGAGATCATTTATTGTTCATAGGAGTGCTCACAATGTGTGCGGTCCCCCGTTTTCACTTCTTTGTGTGGCTGCTCCATGCATTAGTGTGAAAGCGAGGTGGTTTTCCTCTAAGTAATACCTTACATTCTGAGTCCGATAACTCTAATTTACGGAGACGCTCATAAGTCGCCATACATCATTCATGAATTTGTGAGCTCTTTTATTAAGTTTAAATACGTCATGTTGAAAATTGTGGAGTTATGCAGTTGTCATTCAATGTGTGCATAAAAATGCTTTCGACAGCCTGTTTTTGCAGCTTGCCATGTGAACGGAAATTAAATAGTTTAACCGTGCGTCATCTGAAAAAGGGCTGATGAAGACAGGGTTTACATACTCCCATCTATGTATGTCAAAATGCTTTCCAAATGCTTTTTGACAGCGTGCGGTTATGTGTAATCTTTTTTCTGTTTTCTCACGCTCTGTTCTGGCGTGCCTGGCCACGACTCATATCAGGTTTCTCCTTCATACTGAATAGTCAGACTGAGGACAATGAATGACACTAATGCTTTGCATAGTATTAGAAAAAAATAGACAATAAACGTTGGGTTTAAAGTTAATCCGTAGATGGTGGTGTGCCTTACTTTGGTTTCCTGGTCATCCAATCTTTGTTTTCACCTGCAGTCTATTCAAAAGTTGTTTTTGAGCTCGTGAAGCTCAGGTGAGGTCTTCCTTCTGTGTTTGGACGTGAATCTTGTTTTGAACTTTCTATAAAGGGAAGATGAGCAGAACAATCGCATTTGTGGGCATTTAAAAAAAAATCTGTAATAGGATAGATTAACCATCATTAGTTGTACATCACAGTAGTGTAATCCTATAGATATAAGTAAAAAAAACTTATTTCACCCATTGATGTGCAAATCGATTTATAATTTCTATGTAGTCTTTTTTTCTTTTTGATATCCTGTCTTTCTCCATTAAATTTAAACTACCATCAGAATTAGATCCTGCTCTATTCTTAAAAATTTAGCTAGAAATTAAAATAATCATTTCCACCACTGTAAATGAATTGACCTGCCCACCTTTCCTTTACGTACTTTTATATGGAAGAAGTGGCATAATCAAAAAATATTCAACAATCATTAAAATATGTGTATTGAAATCAAAGCCGAGAAGAGTATTCAGTTAATAAATTAATAAATATGAAAGCATGATTCCTGATTTTGGTTGGTTAAAAAAAACCAACAACACAATTTTAACCATAATTTCTTCAAAAGTGTGAAAACTTGCATACTGGTAGATTTTTTTTTAAAAGCAGGAAGTACTTAATCTACCCAAAACTATAGCTGTTTTTTCATTATGGTTACCATAAAAAAAAATCCTCGATATTTTAGCCAGGACATTCACGTGGCTTACTTTCTACAATTAAATGAAAATTTTCCTAAAATAAAATCATGGCTACAGTTTATTCATGCAAGGGAGCCATTTATGGGTTACGATTACATTAACATTCGGCTCATTTAATGGAACTTTTGCCTGTTTGGGACATGCAAAAAGTCTGCAGAGCCACAAGGCCTGCTGGATGTGCCCCAGCTGATGCGGATGAGTGTCTAGACAAAGAGCAGCCTGCAGACCTGCTGTGCAGCTTTGAAGTCATGCACTATTCACAGCTGAGACTGAAGTCACAGTGGATCAGGTGTGTGCTGATGATACAGTTACCCTTTCTACCACTGCTGTATCCTGTCTGAAGGCTATTGTTTTTCCATTCATGCAGGCAGCGAACTAAGCCCTATAAGAGTCTTCATCTTACTCACCTCAGGAAATGTTTTGAAACGTGGCACACAAAAATAGCAAGCGATCTCTTGGTCCTGACTTTGGGAGACAGTGGGGCTAAGAGGAGGGTCAGATCTTGGAGGTTAAAGTTTCACGCCAAACAATAACATAAGTGCAATAAATTTGGTGCAACATTCAATGCTTCAGTTGTAGCATGGCTATAGGTTACATTAGGCGGTGCTGTTATTAACCCGATGTCATAGTAACACCTCTGTTTTGTCTCCAGGTCTTTGGTGGATGGAGAGAAAATGGACGTGAACCAGAGGGAGCTGCCTTTATTTGTAAGTGACTACCTCCTTAGCTTGTGTGTGTCTGAGGTGTTTGCATAATGCAGGGTTGTCAAACTTATTCTGCATGATGGTCCACAGTTTCCATTACTGTCAAAGACACATTTAATTCCAATTCATAGAAGAAGAACAAGAAGTGCAATTTGAACAGCAGGTGTTTATTTTTTACATGCTTATTCTGAATTCTATTCTATATGGAAAAGTTGCTGTAGAAACTCTGGCTGATTGGGACCCACACCCAGTTTCACACCTTGGCTCAGGCGATTAGAGGATCATCAGGGGGTCCTTTTGTCCCTCTGTGGGGGGTCACTCCCACTAGGTTTATATCTGGGACTCTCCACCATTTGACCTTAGAACTGAAGAAGCTTCTCGGATGAGAGGTGAAACGTCTTCAAGTAACTTAAAGAAGTCCAGATGCTTTTCTTTGCAAGCTCCTTTGACTACGATGACCTGGATGACTGAGAACCTTCACAGACATGCTGTAGTAAATCAAAGAAATTGTCATTGGTCATTGCCCAGACTCTCTTGCAACTGCAAAACTGAAAGTCTTCATTAATATACAGAAAAGGTTTTATTTATTTTTCTGTGGACCCATTGTAAAAACAGAAATTTCTACAGGCGATAGTAAAAATTAAAAACAGAAGATTTTCTGTTCAAGTTTATCTATTAATTACTCTGGTGTAATATGAACAACAATGGCAATGTGGGGTGGGGTGTGTGTGGGTGGGTGGGTGGGGGGGGTATCTTTATCAGTAAGAAAAGCTGTGAACCTTAAGAAAACACAGTTGAAAGTGCAAAATCTATGCCCTCTTTCATATACTCCAAAGCCATCAAGTGGCCCAGATTGAGGTCTTTGCCAGGCTGATACTGACCCCAAAGCCTTATGTTTCAGGCATGATTTTTTTTTTACCTCAGCAGAAGTGTTTCCCTCCAGCTATCCTCCTCCTCTCTCAGTCCTGACTCTCTCTGTGTGCACTGGTTGACTAGTGAGCCTTGTGTCGCAGGTGAAACCCAACCCAGCAGGGTTTCAGTCCCTGGGGAAGCCAGGCTCTATGCCGCCCACCACATGACAAGGGCTTCTGAAAGCATGGCTCCCATAGTGAACATGGGACTAAGAATAATAGAGTATTCTTGGCTCTTTAAAAACTACTGGTTACACAAGTTTAAAAAAAAAAGAAAAGTGGATTTTCTTTTCTAAAATTGTCAAATTGTTGTCTTTTCAACTTTTTTTGTTTTAACTTTTGGACGTTTTAGTTTTGTTTCGCCATCTCTTTCTCTCTTTTCCTCTTTCACTCTCTCTCTGCCTATTCTCCTGTAAATGTGGAAGCCTGGGTGGGCCAGTCACTGAAGCGTTGCCAGATTTCTGGTAAGCGGAGTGTCTGCTTGTTTTGCTGTGTCACCAGTTTGAGAGAGGGATGGTGATGGGGGTGGGGGTCGCTTCGAAATCGTTGCCTCCATTCGCTCACAGAATCTGATGGAGGGCCGGTCTCGAGGCCCAGACATGTGAATCATTATGGGGGCTAGAACTTACACATACTAAGAGGAAGTGGTGTCTCCACCCTCAGAGGACACAGCTGAACAGGAGCAACTCTCAGGACTGAATGAGATCCAGATTTCAATGCTGGGCTTTGTGTAGACAAGCTGTGGCACACTGCTGTGATATAAAGACTACTATTGTAGCATGCCTAGTAAAGTTTTATGGCGCACCTCCACGCACGCAACACAGTGTCATGCCCATAGCAAATACTGATGGACGAGATCAATGGAGAAGTGGCTGCTATGAGTTGGATGGAAAAAGCGTTGGGAGTTCCTGTGTGGAAGGAGATTTTATTGAGCTGTAGTTTAGCTTCAGGTTCATGCGAAAGTCATTTTGTTTGTCCAGGTGCATGATTGAATCAAACTTATGCCCCTGAAAGAAGAATGTGTGGCCATGTTGGTGAAATGGAAAGTGCAATTTTACCACAACAGAGGCTGAACTAACTGCATTTCCAGTTGTAGCAACACCAGCAGCTTGCTTCTTTCTTGGTTTGCCACCACATTCGTTCATGCTTAAGGATCTGAAACTATTAATGAGGCTTAAATGTGATAAACTAGACAGCAGATTTAAAAAAAACCCCAAAATTCTGCTGTTACTGCTATTATATAGAAATCTGCCTGACATATTTGTGTTCTGGAGGGGTAAATAGTAATTTTAACATTTTTTGTACATTATTTTATATTTTTCAGGTCATTTTAGTTGATCTAAATCTGTGGATTGCCAAATAAGGTGGTAAATAGGGTAACCATAACAACTGCTTAACATCAGGATGTTAGCAGTGCTGTTGTGAGCAAGTCAGCATAAATATTCAATATTCGGGCCAACTCAATATGCCGGCCAATAGTTTTTGGCTTTCAGAAATGAAACATAAATAAATTTCCCTAACATTTATTATGTGAAGTTATTTATTTACACATTTATGCTGTGTCTGACTCTGCTTGGATCACGTGGTTGTTATGTTTGTGGTCTTCCAAACATATGTGGTTCCAACAAGGAAGTTGCAAAGTGCCTCTGCTGGACAAACTATGCAATGTTAACATTCATAACATAGCTGAAGGGTGTTTTCACCTGGTTCCCTTTGTATTTTAAACTTGAATTTACTGGCTATTATAAATGCAGATACCAATTGATTGGCAAATAGCTAATATTGACAGATGATAATAAGAATAACCCAGGTTGATCCTGATACAATTATGGTACATTTTGTTGAAAAACAATTCTTTAAAATTGGCTCCATTTTTGTAATCTGGATTATTTTCTGTGAAAACGCTTTTGTATTGGCACATGTCAACATACCTGGCAGGACGATACATCTGTTATAGGCCAGTATCAGTTGTTAATATCTGTTACGTCCCTCTGCAGCTTTTAATCGTCTCAGTGTTTTCAGCTGGTGCTAATTGGCCACACCTAGTCAGGTGTGGATAAAAGCATACCTGAGGCAAGCTTTCCGGCAGTGCACTAGTCTTTGCCTTGGTGGCACCAGCCATTTTAGCCAACCTGGTTTTCCATTTTAGGATGAAACCTCTTCTCACCCACACTCTGTTATTCATCTCCTTTTTTTTGTTGCGGCTTTTGAGCCGGGTCGTAACAATATCAGCATATGCTCGCACATACACTTTATTAGAATAGAATAGCCTTTTGTCATTGTACAACAAAATTGTGGTTAAATATTTTTCGAGCAGAGGATGGTTTTGAGCCATCGACCTTTGGGTTATGGGCCCAGAACACTTCTACTGAGCCACTCTGCTTGGGACTCACAATCCCTAATTTAGGGATTAGGTCACTGGGGCTACAGTACGCTAGGTACACTTGGTCAACTGCTCATTAATCCAAAAAGCAACTCAGGACATGTAAACATGGTTAAGATGACCTGCTCGGTTTGAGCATCAGAACTGGGGAGGCAGGTGATCAGACTGGTTGTTTGGTTGTAACCCAGCGGCCCCCAACCCCCGGGCCACGAGAGTTAAGGCTCGGTTGTTAAACTTATGGTTTTCAGGGTTTTTTTCAGTTTTTATCGTTATTTTTTTTAATCGTTTTTATGTTAGTTCAGATGTGAACAGCCCATAGTGTCGCTATGGTAGTGTGTGACGTACTGTCACATACTTGTGGTTGGACAATTGTTTTGCTTAATGTAATGCCTTTGTGTGTGAACGTTCATGAGCATATCATCTTAGAGCATGTGGAAGTAAGTGGAACGGTGGCCTCTGTTGTTCTTTGATCAAATTAAATAGGCTATGAGGGTTTATAGTGACTCTATGATTATAGCAGACTCCATTGCACAGTGCAGTTTTTCTTAATGATACCAAATGTTATTTGTATTGGTTATTAAACTGAAATAACTATGCTTGAGAGCTGACATCAGTAGGTCTTTGCACTGAGGGGAGCTAACTGTTATTGGAGCTGTTTTTGTTTTTGCGGTGGCACTGATCTTACTCCCCTGACGTCACCCGTGTGATACACTCAGGAGATCATGGCAAAGAGCTGTAGAGCTGACAACTACAGGTTTCCTGGAGACCGGGCAGCAGATTTGATGTTGTTTTTCCTCCCACCCCCCACACTGAATGGACAATAACATGCGGAGGTTAGAAGACCATCTCTCTGGTGTATCATTTAGTGTTTTAATTTGTGTTTAGTGTTAGTGTTTTAATAAAAATAAACATTAAAAACAAAGCAGCCCAGTTGTTATGTCACACAACAGCAAAAGCACCTTGTGGATTCATAGCAGGCATATATGAAAAACCTTGTATTCATAACTAAATATACTCCCCGACCTTCAACCTTGCCACGTGGAAGGCATGAAGTAAAAAACCACAAGGTGTTGAATATTTCATTGTTACTGGATCAGGTTGTGTCATGACGGTGCCCTGGAAAAAAGGCCATAGATCACATCGGTGTGTTGTCATATCGCAACCCCAGCCAACCTCTGTTCTAATCTCCAAGGCTCAGGAGGTACAGATTTGTCTGATCAAATTTTGCCCCTCTTAAAGTAATATTGTCTGAGGCTATGGGACAATGTTGAGACAATTGAGTGGAAACTATATCCTCTGTGCAGGATTCAAAATGCAATCAAACAATATTGTGTGATGTGTCTTTTATAGACATTTACAAAGGAATACAGTATAAAAAATACAGAAAACTGCACATAGCATTAATATCTAAATAAATTCTATTACATTTTTTTTGTAAATGTACTTTTATGAATGACTCTTCATGTGGAGTTAGACTTACAGGAAATAACGAAGGCTACACAAGCAGCAGGATGAAATCTTATCTTCTGTTATGCGGAAAAACAATCAGAGATAAGTGTGCACTAAGTGGTACTGCAGCTAACCGCTGAAAACGGAGAAACTGCAGCTTGAGTCAGACCTGTTTATCACTTTCAAATAGCAGCCTCGCAAACAACAGGAAGATAGCAACTCTTGAAACCCCCAAGGGTTTCCAAAGAACAGGGGTAAAGGTTAGAAATTTGACTGGAACCAGATTTTAAGTGCAGTTGAAATGATTATAGACTTTTTGTTTTGTTTTGTTTTTGTTTCCATGGGAAAGATTGACCTATACTCGCATGTATAATATAGGTCAAAACATGTTTGAAGACATAAGTTGTCCTGAGAAAAAAATTCCTTGAAAGTGAAATCACTGCAGGCACTTCCAATCCATTAGAAAGTGACATGTTTTAGATAAGAGTATTGCACACAATGTATCTGGAACGTCAGAGTCCGGACAAACTGTTTGCCGACTCTCTTATGGATGAACATAATACCAAGTAGATGAATTCCAGTGTTGAGCTATCTATACTGGCACGAGGACAGTGTTTACAGAGGACAGTTGTCCTTCCAGCATATTCCTGATTCGATGTCATTGTGTTTTCTTTGCAATGTATGAGCTGGAATGCAAGAAAACCTTGGTGGTTTTTGCTGGTGTTTGTGTACAAACAGAATAAGTCAGTGCCGTCATGTTTCCTACTGATATCCATAAAAGATGGTAAAGTTATGACAGTCGTATAGTCGGATAATGCAGGAAAAAAGGCTAGAGTGGGTTAAAAAGTAGAATCTCTTCATAGGATAGATTGTGAGAACATAAGAGCCCCTGTTTTCTTCCTGGGAAAACACAACAGGAGGGTTAAGTACAAGGAGTGCAGTAAAAGTTGTGAAACTAAATCGCCCATTTTTTGCCTTTTTAAGTTCGGGTTTCTTACAGTATAGGTCACACTTAGTGGCTCGGTCACACTAGATTTAAAATAGGATGGCCTGTTTTTACATTTTGCATCCTAGGAACAACTGGTGGTTTCCCAGTAATTGCATAAACTTTTTTTATGTTTGGTGGTATTATTGTAGGGTCTGCCTTACAATATGAAGCGGCTTGAGGCGACTGTTGTTGTGATTTGGCGCTATATAAATAAAATTGAATTGAATTGACAGATTGTAAGTAGTTGCAGTGATCATTTGGTCACCAAGAAGTTGAATGATAAGCCACAGGTTGCCTGGTGGGAGGCAACTTGTCTCCAAACAGTCACAGTCTGACTTGGACTGACTACAACCACACTGTGACAGATTGGTAAAGATTTGCAGATAATTGCTGTCTGACTTAAAAACGCAGATGGATTGTCAAGATGAGCACAAGTCACCTGGGACAAGTTTCTTTGCATATGTGGGCTTGATTCAACCGGTTGCCAACTGACTATACAATCAAGGTTGCTGAGCATCTGTGCCATTTTGTCTCTAATTTTGTGAAGGAATTTCTGAATATATATTTCAAATACATGAGGTTCTGGCTGGACTCTGAATGTAAGTAGTTAATGCAAATTAATGTTTAGTGAGAAATTCTGTGCATGTTGATGGCAATAGATTCGCAATAAGTTCATGATTATCATCGATGTATCAGAGTTAATTGCTTTGTTATCACATTCTCTTGCACACTGACAGCAGAGTGCCTCTGTCTTATTACTGTTTTATCACAAAAGTTGCACAAAAGTTGCTCTGAATTGCAACTGATTGCAAGTTCTTGCAAACTTGGTACACATCTTTGAAACATCATCATTGGACTCAATCGCATAAGTTGGTGATTTCTAGCCAAAGTGATAGAATATTCTTCAGTTCTACTAGAAATCATGCTCAAGGGTGATAATATTGCCTGACTTTCTGTTTCTCAAACCAGGGACAAGTGGAGGCTCATGTAAGGCTGCAAACCAGAGTTTCTGAACATGCAGATTTCTACATTGTTGTACAAGGCTCTAGACTTGCACACGTGATTAGAGCAAAAAGAGCCAATGATGGCTTGAGTCTCTGCTTCACAGTTCCAGGTATGTCCTTTAGTCAACCACTTTGGCTCTCACGTTGTCATCACTTCCTGCTTTGATTTTTTAAAATGATTTTCTCTATATTCCACAGGCCACAACCTTGAGGAAGTTGTTTTTGTCACATCCTACTTTCACATTGAGAACAAAGTCAAACCTTGTGAGGGGGAAGCGTCCTTTAAGTACGTCAGGGATGATGCCCAGGAAGTAGCAGAATACCTAAGTGAAAACAGAGACCAGCTTGACCCCCAGAGCTTCTTAGAGATCCTGAAGAAGTTTCCTTGTTGCGCACAGGGAGAGGATGATGAGCTCTTTGTTGAACAGTTAGCTCACCTTGAGCAGGAGGTGGAGATCAATAAAAGTTCAGCTGATCTTCGGCTGCTGGATGAGAAGATCACACATGCTTTGGCTAACATGGATTACCCTCAGCAGTGGAAAACAGATGGCCAACCTAAAGAAGGTAATGAAATGAAACGTCCAACTTTAAGTCGGAGGTTAGTTTCTGGAGACTTCAGTAACCACTTGCATCTCAAGTTTCTATCTCTAAAGCCCAAATGTGTTTTCGTATTATTTTTGCTTCATGTTCTTTTTCCATGGTAGAATAATTGTACACCACACATCTTTAATGACTTTAAAAAGTACAATTGTGGGTACACAACTTTGAATTTATTTTGAAGCTTTCATCCACACAGGCTCAAATATATACATGCTTTGACTTTAAACTTTTACGTGGTGCTGAAGATTCTTTTATGTCTTTTAATGTGACAAGGTGAAGGCCTATTAACATCTCGTTAATAATCATGATTCAATCATGATTCAATCATGATTAACTGTTTTTTTTGCCAGCAATAAAACAAATTTTTTGACAGCACTCATTAGATTGACCAGTACTCTGAAAAATGGGAATGTCCAAGTAATAACGGTAGATTTACACAAGTTGAGGTCTCTTGAAGCCATTTCTAAATAATCAGAGATTGCAAGATCATTAGATCAAACAACTGTAAGCAATCACAAGTTTTTTGGATATGTTGGCACTTGCCAAGGTCTGGAAGAAAACCCAACCTGCCAGCCTCAGATGAGAGGAACTTGGTTAGAATGTTCAAGAACAACCCAGGAACCACCAACTCAAGCCTGACATGACCTGTAAACTGCAGGAATACCAGTCGCTGTTCTCAGTGGAACGTGTTTTGCGTCATCAACAAATGAGAGGCTTCCTCCCACCGTCCAAAGACATGCAGCTTGTGGGGATAGGTTAATTGGTTAATCCAAATTGCCACTAGGTGTGAATGTGCGAGTGAATGTGAGTGTGAATGGTTGTCTGTCCCTATGTGTTAGCCCTGCGACAGACTGGCGACCTGTCCAGGGTGTACCCCGCCTTTCGCCCTATGATAGCTGGGATAGGCTCCAGCGCCCCCCGCGACCCTGAAAAGGATAAGCGGAAGCGAATGGATGGATGGATGAACAAATGAGAGGGCGCTGATAAAGGAAATCAACTAAAATTTGCAGCTGCCCACATGGACAAGTCAAATCGCTTCTGGAGAAAAGTTTTATGGGCATAAGACAGAAAGATTGAGCTCTTTTGTCACATTGACAAGAGTTTGTTTGGAGGCAAGTAAGGTAAAGGTAAGGTTTTTAAACCCAAGAAGACTGCACTAACTGTTAAGCACAGTGGTGGCAGCATCATGCTTTGGGGCTGTTTTGCTGCTGTGGTACTGATACCAACTGAGTGTTACAACAGGAGAGTGATACACAATCCCAAATACACATCAGAAAGGCTTTTACCAATACTGCTAAGAAGAGTGGTCAAATATCCATCCAAAATTATGCTACAAGCTAGTTAAAGTGTCTGGTCAATGTGCAATTGTTATCGGGAAATTTAACCAAATACTGTTGTGCCTTTGTGCTTTAGAGAAAATCCAAAATAAATGTAAACTTGTGCATAGATTTTTTTTAAAAAAAAGTAAGATCTATGCTGTAAAAATATTCCACCCTGGAAAAAGAAATTTTCAAAAAAATTATTAAAAGCTGCAAATTAGCATGATGAGTGTATGGAAACTTGGTCAAGTTTAATATAATAAGGACAGTCTCTTGGCTGTCTAACGATGCCACTGAGAGTGGATATGCCTAATATCATGACTTCAGCCACACAGCTCTGGCTGTGAGTAGAGAAACCCCACCTACCTGCCAGTCAACACTGTTAAAAAGGGGCAGCCAATCAGAAAAGTTGACCTTAAAGGGAAATATGGGGAAACTGTTGGTTTCAGACAGAGATGAAACTGAGTGGTTGCAGCAAGGTCTGGTATTAGATAATATAAAACAATAAATAAAACATTGTGCTAGAAAGGAGCACACAAGGTGCCTACTATCTTCACACGTTGATATCACAAAAGTAAAGTTATTGAATCATTTGGAAAACATTTTTTTTGTAGTTTTGAGGAAAGGAACGTACACTGAACAAAAATATAAACGCAACACTTTTGTTTTTGCTCCCATTCCCCATGGGATGGACGTAGAGACCTAAAATTCATTCCAGATACACAATATAACCATCCCTCCCAAACAGTGGTCACAAATCAGTCCAAATGTGTGGTAGTGGGCACATCTGCTATATTGAGATAATCCATCCCACCTCACAGGTGTGCCACATCAGGATGCTGATCTGACATCATGAGTAGTGCACAGGTGTACCTCAGACTGCCCACAACAAAAGGCCACCCTGGAATGTGCAGTTTTGTCTCACAGCAAAATGCCACAGATGCCACAAGCAATGAGGGAGCGTGCAATTGGCATGCTGACAGCAGGAATGTCAACCAGATCTGTCGCCCGTGCATTGAATGTTCATTTCTCAACATAAGCCGTCTCCACAGGCGTTTCAGAGAATATGGCAGCACATCCAACCGGCCTCACAACCGCAGACCTCGTGTAACCACACCAGCCCAGGACCTCCATATCCAGCAGGTTCACCTCCAAGATCGTCTGAGACCAGCCACCCAGACAGCTGCTGGAACAATTGGTTTGCACAACCAAACAATTTCTGCACAAACTGTCAGAAACCGTCTCAGGGACGCTCAACTGCATGCCCGTCGTCCTCATCGGGGTCTTGACCTGACTCCAGCTCGTCACCGTAACAGACTTGTGTGGGCAAATGCTCACATTCGATGGCGTCTGGCACGTTGGAGAGGTGTGCGCTTCACGGATGAATCATGGTTCACATTGTTCAGGGCAGATGGCAGCTGAGAATGTCCCAGTTCTTGCATGGCCAGCATACTCACCGGACATGTCACCCATTGAGCATGTTCGGGATGTGCTTGACCGGCGTATACGACAGCGTGTACCAGTTCCCACGAATATCCAACAACCTCGCACAGCCATTGAAGTGGAGTGGACCAACATTCCACAGGCCACAATTGACAATCTGATAGACTCCATGCGACGATGTGTTGCACTGCATGAGGCAAATGGTGGTCACACCAGATACTGACCGGTTCTGGGTCCCCAGATCCCCAATAGCGCAAAAAACTGCACATTCCAGGGTGGCCTTTTGTTGTGGGCAGTCTGAGGTACACCTGTGCACTACTCATGATGTCAGATCAGCATCCTGATGTGGCACACCTGTGAGGTGGGATGGATTATCTCAATATAGCAGATGTGCCCACTACCACACATTTGGACTGATTTGTGACCACTGTTTGGGAGGGATGGTTATATTGTGTATCTGGAATGAATTTTAGGTCTCTACGTCCATCCCATGGGGAATGGGAGCAAAAACAAAAGTGTTGCGTTTATATTTTTGTTCAGTGTATTAATCCTTCAGGTCATTATTGCTCCGGTGCTCTGGTGTTCAGTGGTTTCAAACCCAATGAGATCTGACTGTGCGGCTCACCTCAGTCATCACATGATTCAGAGGACCAGGCAGCCAGTCGGGCAGAGGCTGGTTTGCTCCAAAGACAAAGTAATTATTGCCATTATTCTTTCTTGGTCAGATTAGAGTTGTCCTGCAGACCTCCGTGGCTGCTAAATCAACTTCCACAACCCTTTGCACTACACTCCCATTGCTAGAGTTTCTGGCATCTAGCCTTAGATTGAGTTATTTATTATGTTTTGTGCTATCCTTTGTAATGAAAAGGATTAAAATGCTCAACAGTATAACAAAATTTTAATGAAAATAAGAAATTAGGAATTACATATACTGGTCCAGCTGTTTCATTATGCCTTTACAATTCCAGACTGTTTGTATTCATCATAAGCAGAAAAAGCAAATGAGACTATAGGCAGCCTAAAGCAGCATATTCACATGTAGTGCTAAAGGCTGCATTCAGACTGTGTGTGTGTGTGTGTGTCCTTGTATTTGACAATGCATGTATGGTCATGGTTTGCTTAAAAAAAAAAAAGCAAATGCTGATGCAAAGCTTGGGTGTGGTGCAAATTCAAAGTAGCTCTTGGCCCCCATAGCCATGTGGTGCACTATTTGCAATGGCAACAATTTGACAATGACGTGCTTGTTTGTTGAACTTTGCATAAAGAGCATGTGCAGCATTCGCAGCCCTCTCCAAACTGGGTCACAATTTAATGGCACCATTGTTGAGGCGGCAGGACATTTCAGTTCATTTTGGGGTTTCAACAAGAATTGGAAAGGAGAAGAGAAATAGTTGAATTGTTCTGCACATTGTTTCTGCACTGGAAAGATGGTACCATGGTAACTCTCACCCACAGACGGGGGGAAGACCCAGAAGATAAAGTCTTTTTTAAAGTTTCTTCCTGAGCTTACAAGACGACAACGATGTAGAGAGAAGGATTTTACTGGTGGTTTTTCGCTTGCTCTTTCCTGCTGCCCTACATTAGACTACAGACTGTTAAAAGATCAGTCAGTCATAGGGAATAACGACTGCTGACATGTCCTCATACTCATTGTTTATGTTCCCTTATACTCCAGTGAGCAGGAGGCTAGATCTAGCAACTGTGTCACAGCAGGTGTTTGCTTAGGAAAGCATTTGGTTTTAGTTGGCAATGATAATATTCATATAGTGCATACAGGCAGAACGCAGAGTCACTCATTCCTTATATGCACAGTGCCCTGCTGCTGTGTTGATGCACTGGAAGTCTATTTGAAATAGCAGGAAAAGTTCTGGATTCTTGAAGCTAATACCGCTTTTGATATTTGGGATTTCCAAATACATTCATATTGACTAAAAGTCATTTTTGTTTACATGAACAAATCACACAAACAATTCTGACATTGATTACTCAGAAGACACATGCTAAGAAGGCTGTTTTACATGTGTCAGCGCTTTTTAAACATCTCCTCGATTGAAAGATTATTCAGCATCTTTCTCCCTCCAGATAATTCTTTCTTTTCTTTTCTTTTTCTCCAGCTGTCAAACATCATCCCAGAGAAACCCTTCTCCACGTTGCAGTGCGTTTGGGTTTGGTTCACCTTGCCCGATTCTTAATTCACCAACCAAGAGGTCAAAGGGCATTGACCTTACCCAATCAGGATGGAGACACACCCCTCCAATTAGCTCAAAAGTCTGGACAGCATGCCATGTTCATGCTGCTAGCAGCGTAAGACTCTTATTATTTTACTGTTGTCTCTTTTCGACTATTGAAAGGTAGTAGTATTTTCCTTTTGAAGGTATTACTGTAATATCGTAAATAATTGCTTTATGAAGTAAATGATGAGTAATGATGAAAGAAATTAAGATGGAAATATACACAAAATGCACATGCATAAAATTTATTTTAAATATGATAAACCTCTAACATTTCCACATGCAGTAATAACATTGTAAAGACTGAGCTTGAGAAGTATGTACAATAGCTGATATATTGGGGATTATTGTAGTAAATCTTTTCCTCATCAGCTCTCCAGGTCCTGCAGTCAGCCCTCTTCCTGGTGTGTGGTGCTTGTGGTCCAACAGTTCTTACATGCTGAGGTTCTGTCCTGGGACCGACTCTCTAGCCCTCTCTGTGAGGCATACCCCGGGAAGCTCCCCTCAGGATAGCATCATGGTCCTGCGAGAAAGACTAGAAGACTTCAGTGTTTCTAAAATGGTGAGAATAAACCACAGGGGATGTCTGTTAAAAAATTTAGGGAAGAAAATGCAAAAGACTGTTCCAATGCCTGTCTGTGCTTGATGTAAAGTTATGTTGTTAAGTTAAGGCCATATCATAAGTTTAGTAAACCCTTGTGTAAACACTCATGCTCTTTAACAATCATAGGTTTTGATAAGAGTGAAGCAGTAAATACATTACCTCTGCAGTACAGTAAAACGAAGGGCACGAGGGAAGAAAATGGATGACGTTAGCTGATGATAACAGGCTTAAGGGGATTACCTTAAAGAGCGAGAAGCCAAAGCAAATTGTTTCAGGCAGAGGATAAGCTGAGGGGTCGCATCAAGTAAGGATTATTTTGAACTGTGGATCATGTGAAACTACAATAGCAGTGTCCACGAGTTTAAATATGGAGTTAAAAATCAATATAATGAGTCCACCTTTAATGTTTGGACACGCTTGAAAATCCTTTTGTGAGCTAATAAAGCAAACAATGGTTCGACCTCTCCAATAACTCTGTGACCTGCTTCCTGTTGATAACCCAATCAGACCACTCAGGTCATCAGGTGCAGCTCTTAACTATTCCCAGAATTAGATCTAAGTGAGCTGAGGGAGCTTTCAGTCAATGTGGTCCTGTTCTTTGGAACATAATGCCTGCTGACCTGAGGTCAGTTACAAATGGGTCTACACTCAGAAAAACCAATAGAAAGATTTTGAGTTTCTGTTCTCACAGGCTTATAATTAATATCTATGTGTGGACGTGTGTGTCTGTGTGTTAAGTAGGACTGGGTGTCGTCACTGATTTCTAGAATCGTTTCGATTCTGATTCACAAGGTCCCGAATTGATTCGATTCGATTTGATTTGAATCTGGGAAATTTTGACTCAGTCAGAAATATTATAATTCTCATCACGTATCAGTACATTTCCATATTTTTATAGCTATAAAAACAAAGCCGACACTTGAGACTTTATCAAAAGTGTGAGCATCACAGCAGATGCCTTTGTGTCAAAGTAGCTGAGGATAAAACACAGAAAAACATGAAGGCGACTTTCCTTGCCTGGGATTTTATAGCAGATAACCTTAAAAATATTCTGCAGTAGATCAAAAACGAAAGAAAGTCATCAAACAACATATGAACATTACCTGATGCTGCTGAAGTGAAGCAGAGCAAAGTTACAGAGGTTTGTTTAGAGTCCGTGCCGTCGGGTGAGAAAGCCACATCTCACTGATTCTGATCCGTCGGCAGGTCCGCGCGTTGTGTTTACGTCTTTGTGCAGAATCCGTGTTCCTGCTCTCTTTTACTGTTTTAGCTGTTTGGTGGTTGTTGAAATTTTGTGAGGTTTCACCTGAGATTCTGGCGTTTCGGGCAAAATAAATTCATGTTAAAAAATCAATTCAGGATCGATAACACGTTATCTAAGCTAGAATCGATTTTAATTGATAAATCGATAATCAAAACCCACCCATAGTGTTAAGCACATTGAGTTTAAATGCAATGAAATGCGCTCTATAAACAAAATTGACATTGATATTGATATACTAGCAAAAACAAAGCAAAGGCCGACCTACACTGAACTTCACATCTGAAGCAAACGCAAACAGAGACATTTGACATTCCTGGATGATGAATACGCAAATAAAAAACATAGTGATGTTAATAATGGATGTGTGATGTTGTTCATGCAAAGTTTGGTTCAGATTGGCCCATCTGTATGTGAGTACATATGGACATACATCCATACATAGTTTGTATATACACATATTATAGTAAGACTGCAGTAGTGACTAAATAATTGTACTTTATCATAATGTCATGTTTCTTTGTACAGTTCATGGCAGTTTTAATTTACTCAAACATCTGTTTCTGTCCAAGATCAATGTGCTCAGAGCTGATACTGTGGTGGGCAAGAGGGATACAGATGAAGGTGTTCAGACTAACAAAGGTAAGTTCTGAATTAAACTAATGTGTAGCATTGTGGTCAATTTGTGTTCATAATATCAGAGAAATTGATTACTTTCAGGCTTTTATCTGAAAAATATTAGGCCAATGTTTATCCAGCCTTTCGTGTACTTTGTATGGGGCCGGTCTCTAACCACATGTCCAATTTATCACTGTATCCAAGATGGTGGGATAACATGGCAGCATCCACAAACCGGTGTCTGTTCCTGTGTATTTTTATGGATTAATTCCAAATTTGTACGTTAGAAGATGTAATTACACACTAATCAGTCTATATTTATGAGCACAGCAGTACTTCTTCTATTAAATAACCTCAAAATGCAGCTGATTGTACCTTTAATGGAAGTCTTCACCAAAAATGTTGGATTAGAATCATGGATTTTAGAATAAAGAATGGTCTTCGACCGTACTAATTGACAGTAAATATAAGAAATAGCTTTAATCAAGTTTGTCCTTACCCATGTTATTACTACAGAAGCAGTGGTTGAGCTCAGTCCACACCAAAGCAGTGTCTTGTCCCATATTACATGGACTTTCCAGCTGTATAACCCCCCCCCCCCCCCCCCCCCACACACACACACACACACAAAGGTTCATAAACACACATGTCAGTACTGTTTCTTCCATGAACTTAGTCATGATCCAAATTCTTGATTGACAGATAATAAACTGATCATTGCATTTTTCAATATTTCAGATCACTTACTCTCATATTTGGACTTTGGACTGTTTAGTCAGACAAAATCAGAATCAGAATCAGAATCAGAATACTTTATTGATCCCTGGGGGAAATTATTTTTTGTTACAGTGCTCCATTTTAAACCAACATTAAGACAAGACAGACAATACACTAACTAAGAATAGTACAATATATACATATATATACATACATACATACATAAGTCACTCATAGATAAATAGTTGGAAAAGAAACATGTGTAGTTATAGCAGCAAACAGTGTGTTAAGTGGATGCGTTGTACAGGGAGATGGCCACAGGCAGGAATGATTTCCTGTGTCGTTCAGTGGTGCTTTTCGGTAATCTCAGTCTCTCACTGAACGAGCTCCTGTGACTGACCAGCATGTCATGGAGTGGGTGGGAGGTGTTATCCAACATTGTCTTTATCTTGGACAGCATCCGCCTCTCCGACACCACCTTGAGGGAGTCCAGCTCCATCCCCACAACATTGCTGGCCTTACGGATCAGTTTATTAAGTCTGTTGGCATCTGCGACCCTCAGCCTGCTCCCCCAGCATGCAACAGCATAGAGGATCGCACTGGCCACAACAGACTCATAGAAAATCCTCAGCATTTTCTGGCAGATGTTGAAGGACCTCAGTCTAGCAGTATAAAGACTTCATCCCAGGCTCTGAGAACCTGTAGCGGTCATTTCTAAACTGCTTTCTGATGCTTTGTAGCCGAAACAAAGTGTTTGATTTGTCAAAAATAACAATCAAAGGATTTTGCAATAATGAAAATAATAATTACTTACAACCCTGCTATTGTCATCACACTGATCTGCGCGTGCGCAAACAGCTCATGCGTGTTGTCTGCCTGCGGTGGCATGCAAGTTTGGAGACTTTACTCTGGAGCAGTGGAAAAATGAACAGCCACAGATTCACTTGAGCAAACAGTGGTATGATCAGACATCCATCACTTAGGACCTAAAGAGACTAGAAAAACACTTTCAACAGATACCATAAAAGGCACAGCCACAGCACATCTGAGCCTTCAGAGAAAACCGAAGAAGCACATTGTTTCTCTTTCCCTGCGGTGACATGTTCAGGCTGGCATGCAGACATGCAGAGAGTAATCTTTGCTAATCTTCGATGCCAGCCGCGAATTATTTTCTATCATTCTATATCTGTGTCTCACACACACACACACATTTTGTGTTTCTTCAACCTGTGGCTACTCTTTTTGGTAACCATAGAGATGGCAGGTGGCAGCATCGACTCATAAAGGGAAGCAGGAAGTGTACCACGGTATTGACCTTAACCCCGTCGCGACTCTAGCAGCCGTCCATTAATCCTCTTGAAATAACAGCTCCACAGTAGGGAGCTTGTGCTCTTTCTCTGGACCTGCTGGTTTGGACGAGCGCAAAGTCTGATTGGTTAGTTTTCCATTCCTGGATAGCAGAGTCACATCCAGAGAACCTGATGTTGTGCCTTCCACATAACTCTCTTTTTTAGAGTAGCAGCAGCAGCAGCAGCAAGAGGAGGAGGAGGAGGAAGATGAGGGTGTTTGTGTGTCAGGCTTCAGCTTTTGGTTAAGTGTTTTTCTTTTGCACAGGCAACAACAAGGAACAACATGTGAAAGAGCATGTGCTCGTGGACAGTGTGAGTATACATACATACGTTGTAGATGTTTGCAGATTTTTGAATGCAGCCATATGCATTTATGACTTTTTCAAGTAAACTATATGTAAATTTAGTGAAATGGTGTGCATGCTTTTTGTGTTTGCTTAAAGGTTTTTGAAGAGCAGCTCGTCCTGTCTTTAGATGACGATGATGATGAAGAAGAGTACTCATCCTCATTATCTGGTAACTCTCTTCTCTTCTCTTCGACCTCTGCTTCAAGTATTTTCAGATGATTTATTCACTGGTCCAACGTTTTGGCCCAGCAATCACAACTTTTTATTTTCCGTTTTAATATTACGGCAGTAACTCTTCAGCATCTGGATTAAATGATGAATGGGTAATCCATAAAAAATACAACAACATATTTGTGGCTGCACTGAACAGCGGGGTGTGGGAACAGAACATATTAAGCTAGTACAGAAGCCTGGGGAGGAACTGTTTCTCTCGTGGTCTTAGCACAATATGCGAAGCTCTGTTTTGAATCACATCATTGGAAATCGATGCGGTTGCTGCTTCACAGGCACAGACAGGGATGGGCTTCTGTATTAGGCACAGAGGTGGTATTCGTTTATTAAATGGACATATTGTCCTCCGGGAGTCTTTGGATGATGCTGGTTGTGTCTTTACCCGCACTGGCTCCATAATGACTCAATCCAGGGGTCCAGGAATCTGCCCTGTCAGTGGGACAAAGACAGGAATGGGGTCAGGCTTGTCCCACTCAGACTTTGTCTGAGCTATGAGATGCCCCCCCCCCTCTGGTTTGTCGCCCTGCCATCCCCTCCCCCGATTCTCTCCTGGATCAAACAGTAGAGCTGTGTACTCGAAGCAAGAGGTGGAATGTTAACAAGCTAAAGTGTCCTCGGCTTACAAAAGCTGACATTTCAGATAAGACACATGCATTTACACTGATTCCCTTTTAAATCCAACATCTACTCAAGACTATATAAGCTGAAGCTCATTGGCTAGTAAAAAAAAGTTGAAAAGGATGCTAAAGTGTTTCGGGTGTCACCACGGTTACTGCGAATGCTAATTTTCCTGTGTGATGCTGTGGAAGAATGAAGAGTTTGTTGTAAACTTTGGAGAGGCTCTGGTGCTACTCAATGGCGCTTGTAAATGCTGTATAAATGAAATTATGTGTGTGCGTTTACGATAAAGTGTCAGCGTCAAGTAGTGTCGCGTGAAAAACACGAGGCATCGATCCCATTGTTTTCCACAGATTGCAGATTTCTCCTTATATTCCTCAAGTTCTTAAACTCTCTTTTGGCCTGAGTGCTTTAGATGGGATGACAGTGTCTTGGGGCTACTGTGGTGAAAAAGTGTCATTTGGAGTTATTGTTTTTTCCAGATCTGTTGAAATGATCATAACAGTTTCTCATGTTTCACTGACATAACTCAGCGGTGGCAGTTATTGTTGGAGCTAGCTTGTGTTACGATTAGTCTACCAGCCGAGACTTGTGCTGCTTGTGTCTGTCACCATTAGATCCAGTACTGGAATCGTGGTTCTTTGTTTTTGCCTGTGTGAAAGGTTCTACTTAAAGGTCACAGCAGATACATAAAAACAAGATAAAAGTCATGGAACTATATGAGAAGTCTGCCTTGTATATTTGAGCTCCATGTGCGCTACTTGTATGTCTTCACTGTGTGAGAGCAGCAAAGAGGAAATGCCTCTGTGATGCCCAGGATTTCCTTTACATTAGTGCAGCCATGGCAGGTCCAGACATCAAAGTCTGGGTGGAAAGTGCACTCATCAAGGAAGGCAATTTTCCACGTGTTTAAAATAAAAATGCCAACCACCACTCCCTCACAGTTGCCCAAGTAATTATGTACACTGTACACGTTCAACAGGACTTTACTTTGAGACATTGTTCAGGCTACTTTAAATTACTACATTTCATAGTCAACGGTCACATTACTGTTGTGTTTTTTTTGTTCTGCACAATATACAGATCATGTGGCAGGCATTATAGTGTGTATTTTTGTATAAATACATGCAGAGTTATACAAAGAAGCTTAATCTGCCTTACCTTTAATCTAAACCAAACGCTCACATTTTCTAATAGGCACTAAAGACAAGATTCATCTGAAGTTAACTGGAAACCACTAATGCAGATTAGAAAAGAAGAAAAAATAAGATTCAGAAAAAAGCAAGAGAAAAAAAATATCTGAACACCAATAAAATATAGATTAAAATATCTGACAGTGTCATAGACAGGGGTGTCAAAAGTAAAAGCATTTTTTACTAGTACACATACTTGTGTTGAAATTACTTTGGTAAAAGTCAAAGCACTGATTCAAATTCTTTACCCAAGTAAAAGTGAAAAATTACAAGCTCTGGATGTGCTCAGATTAAAAAAGTTAAAAGTAGCTTTTTGGAGGGCAGCTATTTTTGTAAAAAAGTAAACTGAACCTTGTGCTATATTAATAAAGTAATTAAATAATTAAATGATATTAACACATGAGAATACAAACTTTTTTTGAACAGGGAAATGAGTACAGTCCAACATTAAAGTGGGATTTCACTGGAGGGAACTCAGTCATTTCTATTCTGAGCTCTACTCCTGTTTATTATTGTGAGCTGTGTTCTTTGTGTACATGCTGTGATCAGCTGACCTATGTTGCTGCTGGTCTTTGTGGATTTACACAACTGAATTGAACAAGCTGTAAGCAAATTTTTCATGAGCTAGCTTCTCTGATTTCCGTTCCCTACACTGGCAGTGTACTGTTTATACTATCATTATACTAGACAGTATTATAAAAGTTGAATGAACCAAAGCATCATCATCTTAAATTCAATTTAATCTCTGCTACCCTTTATGTAAACCAACTCTGACCAGGAACACGTCACCGGCTGTGCACCAGCCCAGTACAGTGCTTTACTGTATTCACATCATATACGGATCCAGTGTCATATTTTTAAAAATGAGGACATTACATCCTTTGTCCGGCCCGTCTTTCTACATCTTTTTCTTTCTTACATCTTTCTCCATGTCTGAGTGAAGTTATCTTTTCTTCCTGTGAAATGCAACAGCTGCACCTTTAGCTAGCAACACACTGTGTGACAAACTGCACACAAACAGTTTGTGTGTTTGCTGATGTGTGTTGAACTGTTAGTGACACTGCATTTTAAATTACTTAAAATGCTTAAAATGCTTGCTCCTCCTATTGTAGTGCTAGCTAGATGCTGAAGTACAGTGACCGCAACTTATGTACATCTGGACTAAAAACGCCATTCCAGATCATTCCGACCCATTTTAACTCGAGCATAGTGATATAAACGATGCATAAATTTTTTTAGATATTTGCCTTTTTCATCTCTGTGTAGGCAGAAAGCCCTTGTAATGGATACACCAATGAGACAGTTTTTCATGAGCTATTGTTACCTCCATCTAGACTCATATTGGTTTAATGTTTTGAAGTGTGGAGTAATGGTGAATTGTGCTGTTCTACTTAAGTACAGTAACCAAGTATTTGTACTTCATTACCTCAGACCTCTGGTCAGTATAATAGCTTGTTATCACCCACAAACTCTTCAGGGAGTCACTGAATGTATCTAAGGCGACCCCTTGCAAAATAAGGGAGCTGCTGGGACCATAGACACTATAAAAAAGTACCTAATGGTATGTTACCCACTGGTTCATCTTGTTATGAAGACTTAAACTGAGCTTTTTTTGTGATTTTAGTGTTTTGAAACCCAAGCTGATGAATATGGTATGATTCTGACTGTGAAAGAGCACCGCATGCTCATCGGTTAATGACTGATTCACATTATAAAATTCATGTTTTAGTCACTATAGTCTGAAACTAGTGATTGTCCTCTGGGAGTCATCACAAAAATGTCGATTGAGGTCACGTAGTGAGGGAGCACAGGACCGTAGACCAGTGTTTCCCAACCTTTTGGAGCCACTGCACATATTTCACATTAGAAAAATCACACGGCACACCACCAAACAAAAATGTCACAAAAAGCATATTGATCATTTCCCCCTGCGCACCAGGTAAAGCAGAATTGGCTCCGTTTGTCCCCATTATACCGTTTTTGCTTTCTTCTGGCCACTACTCATGCTAGGGACTTCATCTGGGTTGGAATTTTTCCCAGGACCCAGGTCAGATTGACTACTTTTTCTTTTCAAATATTTATCTATTACTATTACGCGCTGTGTTTTCTCACTCACAGCATGACTATTATATAATTTCTTCTTTGTCTTCTTCTGTTTTATTGGCAGTTATCAACCCATTTAATTAGAGCAGTTGTAGTTGTAGTACTGGTTGTACTGCCCTCTAGTGGAAGAGAATGTAATTGTTCTGCCCGTTACGCCGATCGCTTAGAGTACAAATCAGGTGGAACCAGATAATCTTCCATGACACACCTAACCATTTCTCATGGCACACCTATGTGCCGTGGCACTGTAGTTGGGAAACACTGCCGTAGACTTCTATACAAGCAAAAGTCTGTATGCAGGAAAAGGTGTCGTCCCCTGCTGGTCATTAACTCCAAGATCGGAACCTTGATGTAACTGCCAGTTCCCTGCGTCAGCCTCCTGGAACTAACTGTTCCTTTCTACACAAACTCTGACCAGTCCTAAAACCTCACTTCTGTCTAAATACCAAAGTATGTAGTGTTTAGAAACTTTAAGACAAAGTAGATATTAATGTTATGTCGCCCTAAAAAGAGATTATTAATTGGCAAAATAACTCCCGAATGCCAGAGGCAGCACACGCAAACAGATCCTAACCATGTATAATAGGCTCAGTGACCAGAAAATGTCACAAAAAATTAATATGGCGACAAAATGTTTTACCAGTCGGTGGTTGCTGGAGTACTTTTCTATGCTGTGGTGTGCTGGGGGAGCAGCACAGCAAAGAAGGACTCATCCAGGCTGGAGAAACTGATCAGGAGGGCTAGCTCTGTGGTCGGCATGAAGCTGGACACTCTGGTGACAGTGGCAGAGAAAAGGACATTAAAGAAACTGATGGACATTATGGACAATGCCAGGCATCCTCTGCACACAGCCATTAACAACCAGAGGAGTCTGTTCAGTGACAGGTTGCTTCTCCCAAAGACAAGAACTAACAGACTTAAAAACTCCTTTGTCCCACACACCATCAGACTGTTTAACTCCTCTCTGGAGGGGAGAGGGAGGGGAAACAGGAGGACAAAGGAGGGGGGAACAACTAAGCTGTAGTGCCTCTTCACCTCACTGTGCAATACCTTTTGTGCAATACTTTTGTAAAT